TATTTGCCTGAGGTTTAGGTTACTGATATATTAAAAAGATTCAGGCCTCATTTACTGGTAAAGTACATGTATATTTTAAGGAATGAAGCTACTTTAACAGCTACCTCTGCTTCCAATGTGAATAGGCAAGTCCATGGGTTTATTTATGTATTCAATTGGATTGTATGAAATAGTGTCCTGCGTGCAAAACACACACTAGCAGCCCCTTGTGCATATCCCAAGTCTGACTGGGGGTGGGGGGGTACAGAGAAGATTTGGAAGATACAGGAGGAGGAGAGAAAGAAACTGAACCCTGTGATTACCATATGTATAGACCCTGGAGGATGGATGTTTAACAAAATGAGGAATTGTTAGGTTATAAGAAAGACTAACTTCAACTGGGAAAGAAAAATTGAGATAATCTAGGAATGTGAAGAAAATCTGTTAACTACTCTGACTGTAAGTCCTGTGTCATGTAGGGAGAAAGTCACATAAGGAAGTCAGCTACTCTAAACTAAAAGTCAGCGTAATGTCTATTTTGTAGTGATAATGAAGAAGAGCAGGCATTTATCATGATAATTCATATATCCACATCCTCAAGGGAAGTCCAAAAATGCAGGCAGCTAGATTCAAGATTTATTTCAGGGAGCTAGATAGGTATGATATTATCTCACCAAATATAATGCCCTTGTCATAAGAACATAGGAAGAACCATGCTGGAGCAGACTAAGGGCCCATGTAGTCCAGTAGCCAGCCAGCTGCCTAGCAAGGCAAGAGTGCAACTGACCAGGCTTTGAACATAAACCTTGCCTTGGAGTCTTGTACCTAACTCTGAGAAACCCTGGCTTATTTAATTAATGTATTATTACTATGTTGCCTGTCTGTTAAAAGCTATCAAGATGGCATACAGAATTATCAAGAAAAATATTAAAAACCACAGAACTGTATTACAGTTTTACGTATAATAAAAGGTCAGTTTAAAGAGATATGTTGGCACCTTTAAAAACACTTTACAGGCCTCATTCCATGTATCTGACAAGCAGAGATACAAGACAGCTAAGTCTTAATAACCAGCAGGTTTGTTACAAGACAAGCCGCTCTTTAGATAGCCTGGCACTATGCTGTTTAGAGCTTTTAAAGGTTAGAGCCAGCACTTTGAATTGAGTCTGAAAAATAATTGGCAACAGTTCAGATCTTTTAGTAGTGATGTAATGTAACCCCTAAACTGTGCTTAGGTTAGCAGCTCTGCTGTTGCATTTTGCACCAATTGCAGCATCTGGATGCTCTTCCATGTGCTCTTATATTGAGCAGATTGCAGCAGTCTAAATGTGATTTAACCAAGGCATAGATAATGCTTATCAGTTTAGTAGTTAATGCTGTTTTTGCTGCTCTCTCTTGCTCTCTAGGATTGCAGCCTAAGGCACATTTTACTACAGCTCTTGTTTTCAGTCTCCTAATTACTGTCTTATTCATAGATAGAAAGACTAGCTTGTAAACGCTAATATTTCTGACAGGTAGGGAAGGCAAAGTAGACAACTAGTTTGCTTTCTTGTGGGTGGTGAAAATGTGCTTGTTGAATACCTGAACAAAAGAGCGCTGGTGGAAAATGCTAGGATGCTTCCATGTTTCATGCAAATTTCTCTTTGGTTTTCATGTCAGCATATTTTAACATGGCTGCCAACTTCCAACTTTACAGTGTGCAGTCATGTAGGTAAGAAAGCCAGCAAGACAACAGTAGACGTAATGCTTTTTTTTTACCTAGTAGTATGCACAGAGCAGAACAATCATTCTGTCTGTTGCAGAACTGTTATCCCATAGTTCCATAGTTCCATTCATCAAAAATATATAGCTTATAAGAGCATTGCTGTGTTGCTGGAACATGGTACAGCTGTGCTAAACTGAAGCAGGTTGGAAACTGGGCGTTACCTGGGGGGACTCCTCCTGGGAACCTGATATACTTGGGAACTCTATGTGCAGCCGAGTTCTGTGGAAGAAAGGTAGGATATAGATCTAATATTACCTTCTGAACAAATCACCCTGTGGCTTAACCCAAGCAGAACAAACCTTAACCACTTTGGATGATTGTCTGAAAGGAGCTAACATTATTTTGTGGTAAAGAAGATCCCTGCAATGTGGAGGCATCAGCCCTGGAGGCTCCATTTATACCAGTGAAAAGTCTAAATGTATTGCCAGTGGGGTTTCCACTGGAGGTAGGGAGCAGAAGACCCCAAAATAGTTCTACTAGGGTCAAAGCCCCTTTGTCCCCAGTGGTGTGGGAGCAGAAAGTGGGAGTTGGTGTTGGAGTTGGTCTCAGTTCTTGTTTACTATGGGGTGAGAAATGTGTGGTTCTTCAGATGTTTTTGGATCGCAACTCTAATCTACCCTAAGCAGCATAGCCAGTAGTGAGCTGTGATAGGAGTTGTAGTCCAGAAATATCTGGAGAGTCACACATTCCTCATCTGTGCACTGCTGCATCTGCTTGCGTTCATCCTTTTGTCTCCCTCTGCTACTGCCACTGCCTTCACTTTGCTTCACTTTAAATTAAGCTTGTGTGCCCCTTAGGACACAAGCTGATTTATTCCTTACTTTATTCTGAACATCTCCGTGTACATACATGTTGTATAATAAATAAATGCAGGAATGCTTTCACAAATGCTATGTTAGGAGACTGCACAAGGCAATAGATAAAAAGGGTTTCCTGTAGTCTGCAATTCTGTACAAGTGCAGAATTTAGTAGTGTGTGCCAAATCCAGCTTGCTGAGCACTTTTCCTTCCTTTTATTGGGGCCTTTTAGCTGTGACAACTATAAATATGGCTTGACAGTATAAGGGCAGTCCTTGGTAAAATCTCTTTTATCAGAGAAGTCTCTGGGTAGAGGACTCCATGGTAAAGTCACTTTAGTCACTAGTTTCTTGTCCTGCCATGGCCAGAACCCATGGGATGGCTTGGAAAACACTATTGGGGTAGGTTCCACTTATCAGTAGCACCTCTGTCTTGTCTGAAATAAGTTTCAATTTGCTGTCCCCCATCCTGTCCATCACCTTGGTCAGGCACTGGTTCAGAGTCAAAATTGCCTCACTTGGATCAGATGTGAATGAGAGGTGGAGCTGAGTGTCACCACTGTACTGATGACACCTCAGCTCAAACTTCTGGATGACCTCTTCCAAAAGTCTAATGTATATATTAAACAGTATGGGGGATAGGGTGGAACCCTGCAGCACTCCATGACATAGCTGCCATGTGGCTAAAAGGCTATCCCTCAGTGACACCATCTGGAATTGTCCAGCCAGGTAAGAGCAGAATCGCTGCAAAGCAGTGCCTCCAACTCCTAATCCAGCCAGGCCATCCAGAAGGATACTATGGTTGATGGCAATGAAAGCCACTGAGAGGTCCAGGAGAGCTAACAGGGATGCACTTCCCCTGTCTTTCTCCTGTCAAAGGCAATCCCATAGGATGACCAAGGCTGTCTCTGACCCATAACCAGGCCTGAAACTGGACTGAAATTGATCAAGATGGTCCATTTCCTCCAAGAATGTCTGGAGATGTCCAGTCACCAGCCACTCGAGCACCTTACTCAAGAAGGGAGTGTTGGTCAGATGCCTATAGTTGTTAAAATCTTCTGGTTCCTGGCTAGTCTCCTCCAGGAGAGGCTTGATCACTACCTCTTTTAACAGAGACAGGACCTGACCCTCCATCAGAGAGGCATTCTCCATCACCAGGCCCCTGAAGCGCATTGCCTCCTTGGCTTTGATGACTAGCCATGACGGGCAAGGGTCAAGGGCCAGACTTGTCCAACCACCCTGTCCATATCATCAGGCCTCAAGAATTGAAGCTTTTCCAATAAAATGGGACTAGACGGGGCTCTGGGTACTTTTGTTATAGAAACTGCATCAAGTATGGAGTCCAATTTGTGTTGAATCTGAGTGATGTTATCCTTGAAGTGCTGTGCAAACTTGTAACAGCAGGCTGCCAAGGGTTCTCCTTGATGGTCTTTAGGGCCAATTCATAAAAGCCATGGACCACTCAAAACAGCTCCATTGAGCAGCACTGAGAGGATGTGATGCTAGCGGAGAAGAATGCTCTCTTCACCACCATGGAGTAGGCTCAATAATGAGATCTTACGCATGTTTGGTCAGATTTAGCCTGGATATTCTTCCACCAGCTCTCAAGCCACCTTCCCAATTGCTTCATTGCTTGCAGTTCTGCTGTATACCATGGTGCCATGGTGGGCTCTGTTCATGGGAAGAGGTGCAATTGTGTCTACTCTAGAGATATTAGAAGTTTTTCCACTTTTGCAGGGGTCCTGTGCCCCTGACCCCCACAAATGTAGTGTTCACTACTGTCTGCATTTTCAGACATCCAGTGTGGGGCTTGGAACCTATCCCCCATGGATAATGTGGGTCCTTATGCATAACTTCAGAGAAGCTTTTGGGGGCTGTTGTCCAGTGGTGGGTGAGGCCCAAGACAAAGGGCAGGGCCAGAAAAAAATACCAGTATATTTTAGACCAAAGCTCACTGCCAGTAAAGAAGTCTTAGGAGTAGCATTTAGAAATGCAGGGAGGGGAAGTGTACAAAAGCTGGAAACCACTACATTATTGGGGCAAAGGGGATAAGGGGAAGAGAGCATGACCATTTGGGCCTGATGCTCTGCATCCCTGCTTGAACATGGAAAATAAGATTATTAGACCAGTAACCTTAGCCACTTTTTAATGATTACCCTAATCTGTAAGACTCCTCACTATCCCTGCCCCCAACAACAGTAGGTCCAGTTTTATTGTCACCATATACCTTTGTTCAACCTCCAGCTAAATTAGCATAGCATGTGTTTAATTTATTATATCCCATCTTTCTTCACAGAGTATAAGGTGGCATATGTAGGATTTTCTGCTGGTCTTCCCAGATCTTTTGCAAGCTCTATTTCCCTATAAAAAAGAAAACAATACATTACAATCCTTCAGCAGTAATTGGTGTGGAATGTGCCTGATCCTGAACTTCATTAATGTCTATATTGTCTTTTGCAGTTCTTTGGCCATTGGAACCAAAACTGGATACAAACTTTTTTCCTTGAGTTCTGTGGAGCAGCTGGATCAGGTCCATGAGAGCAGTAAGTCTGTTCCGCTTTGTTCGAACAAACTATTGGCTGCCAACAGGCTTTATTCCGCATTACAGCACTTTAATTTGCCTCAAAGGAGCAATTTTATTTTATCCTTCTTGCTAGAAAGCAGATGGCATCTCTTGGCTGCAGCCTTGTTTGTATTCAAACCATTCTGGAGGCAGCTGTGTTAAAGGGGCAGTTGTGTGCAAAGAAGCCTAACAGAGAACAGGGCTCTGTGACACCAGTATTAATCTGAAGTAAGCTTCAGTATGTAATAGTTCAGGACCAATCAGAAATAAGCAGGAATAGATTAAATGCACATCTGTGCAATCTTTACTGAATTGTAGGGATCAAATGACATTTCCCAGAATTTTACCTACCTAGCAAGCAGGAATGGATGCTGCTGAGAAATTACAGCTGTATATTGCTGTAGTTCAGGGGTGCACAACCTGCACCCTTTGCTTGTAAGCTGTAACTGTGGCCCCCTGAGTGCCCGGACCCCAGCCTGCCCCTACATTCTCTCCCCCACCAGTCTCCCGCTGATCCTGTCATGGCTGCCTGTCATACAGAGCACTCTTTACAGTGAAGAAAGAGCAGTAAGCATTGGGAACTACTAGAAAGCCTTCTGTGTGAGGATTACTGGGGGAAGGGGGTTAGACAGAATGTCCTCCACTTCCTTTCCCATACCAATCACTCTTTCCTTGCTGCTGAGGAAAGAATGTATCAGTATCACTGGTATGGGTGTGACAAGTGACTCTTGGGGCCATGAAGTTTGTGAATTCCCTATTATTGGTATATGGGGCAGAGAAGGGGATAACTTAAAGGAGTAGCTAAGATGTAAGCCATGACTTTTTGACCCTAAATACAACCCAATGGATCTAGAGTAACCTAAGCATGTGCAGAGTCAGAGTGGCTGCATTTGGATGTAACACTAGATCAGCCTTCTCTTATCTGGCACCAGGGGAAGCTGGCAATTCCTACATAGTGGTAGCTCCCAATCGTTGCAAGTGTGACTGTCCACATTTTTCTTTCATTCATTCACTCATTTTGCGGCTTTCTTTCTTTTAGTGATAGGTGCTGACTTTCAGCAGGAGCTCTCTATCTTTGCCTTGTTTGCTTTAGTGGTGAGCTGGCGGCTATGATCTGCTCTACTGTGTGTAGGGAGTGAGGAGACCTGCCCCTTGTCAGCTGGGACAGTGAGGAAAGAGGGGGGATACAGGAACAATAAGCCAAGTCGCTTTGGTGGTGGAGGACTGGGTAGCTGCACTGATGTACCACAGAAGCACCAGGCCTGGGAGGGAAATAGAATGCAGGGGTGATGGAGTGCAGTGTGGACCTATACTAGGCAACCTCGCAGCATTAAGCCCTCTTTCAATGGTGGGAACTTTTTGTGTTCCAGTCCAAAGCCAAGTGAGCCTGAGAACTAGCTGAGGGCTTGCTTGGATAGTGTGGAAGAGGACAAGCAGGAGTGGCCCAAAAAATCTTGCAGCTGACTCTGGTACACAGCTTGACCCAAGTGAAGGGGAGCCACTTAATAGCTTGGGAAAGACCCTACATGGCCTTGTTGGCAGTGCCTGGAGTGGATCTTGCTTGAAAACATAGTGAGGAACACTGCTATAGTATAACAGAGCAGTAAGGACTCAAGGCCAGCCTTTTGCTAAAGCCATCTTTTCCTTGAAAAATTTTCTTAGCCTGCTTCCTCTAATGTTGAAAAGCTTAGAATGGGACCTCTTTCTTACATTTGCTTACCTTTATGTAGTTCATAACCATTGCTCCTTACCCTGCCCTTAGCTTTGCTTTGATTTGACCATGAGTACAACCAGTAAATGGGGGACCATCAACTTGCCTGCTGAGTCTTAAGTCAGGGATAAAACTTGTGACGCTCCAGGTGTTGGATTCCATCAGCCTTAGCCTGCATGGCTAATGATGAGGAAGCTGAAGTTCCCCCTGCCCCTCCCATACACACCTGATTTAAACGATCAGTTAAGAACCCTCTAATATTGAAGTGACTTGCAAATGTTTAACCTTACCTGGATCAAGACTGTTCATCTCTCTGTTTCAAAATTGTCCATATAGCATTACTTAATTTTTCTTTCTCAAGGGCCACCATTTCCATGAGGTTATGGGAAGGAGTGGAGCAATATTTCTGCTAGGCTTATTGGAAAGTTTGTTATGTTAAAAACCTAAAATGTTTTTGACTTGTGTATCACAGAGCTCATATCCTCACAGCTGGTTCCGGGTTGCAAACACAATGAAGGAGATCCTTGAGCTTACACTTTTTAAGAGGGACAAAGGTTGTTTTTCACTGCCATGAGAAGCTTGCTTGTCCTGCGTTATGGTGGCTGTCAATACCATTTTATTTTAAAGACTTCCTAAGAAAGGCTGTAAATTTGACTGTCCTGCTATCATGCAACTGAGAAATGCAAAGATACACATTTGTCAGCCAAAGTGTGTCCTTAAGGGAACATGTTGTGACCCTGCTGTAGCACTGTAGTTCAATATAATCTGACCTGCCACCATTTGGTAAGATGCAAATAAATTATGCAACTTTGCCTTCCACAGCATTAATTTTGTGTTCACCTTTTCTTAACTTTACATATAAGAAAACATGTATTTCTAGTACTGTCCTATCCATTTACACTCAAATGTAAATCCCATTGCCTTTAGTGGTGCTTGCTCATGATATTTATGCATATGTTGCCTACATAAGACATTATGAAGACATTAAGTATGTCTTCATAATAGCTACGTTCAAATGATCCTTGGGCTTGTGTGCTTTCCTCTATTTACTTCTGACACAGCCCTGAGGAGGAAATTAGACATTTCTCATTTCATTTTAATTTAATTTAACCATAATGTAGTATGTAGGTAATGATGCCTATGGTCAGTGAAAGTAAGCTAGCGTCATAAATTTTTTTTGAGTTTGCCTTCTTTCCACCAACCATAGTTAAGATTAACCACAGTTTTTCTGGATTCAGATGTTCTGAGAAGCCACCATTAAAAGCTTCTGAATTCCTTCTTGTGCCTGTGCCAGAGGAGAAAAGGCTGCCTGTGCAGCTAATTTTTGTAATACTGAACAATGGTTTTGTGATACATCTGAAGCAGCTCTTTGTGATCTCAGTGAAAAAAGGGATATTAGCAAATGGATACAGATAAAAATAATAACCTTAAGTGTGAAATGTTTCTTCTAGCATTTTCTTTCAAATTGAATGCTGCAGAAATTATTGCCATTTCAGCAAAGAAAACTGAGCAGGTGTGTTACTTATTTTCAGAGGAGACTTAAAGAACCTCCCTCAGTAAATAACTGTCAATCATTGTGTGTATCTTCCTTAGGTCTTTCAGCAGAAGTAGCCAGTGGAAGCTGTTAGCAGGGCCCAGTCTTGCAGGCCGCAATAATGGATTTTGTGCGGAAGCCAAACTATTGGAACCCACATGTGGCTCCTGAAGAAAGTTAAAATTCTATTAGCAGACCTCTCTTGTGGCGTATTGTGCCATAAGTGGTTCCTATATGGAAGGAAACTCCTTTTATAGATAATTCAGGAAAATGACAATTACACTGGGTCAATGAACATGATTTCATTGTTCAAAGCCTGAATGCCCAAGAGATCCATCTGCATATTGTAATTTCTTTATGATGCTCCCCAGCATATGCTGCTTGCACTAGCTGCCAAACATGAAAGCCCTTTTGAAAGTGCCCCATTTGTAAAAAGCAATTTGTGGGCCCATGTGAATGAGCTTTACTGGAAGCAGCTGTGAGGAAGGATAGCCTGGTTGCAAGCAGACTTTGGGATTGTGGCCAGGAAGAAGACCTTATCATCCAATACCGCCTATGTAAACTGATCTGGAAATGTTCCCCTTTTCTCTAGTTTTAGCTGAGACCTTTCCTCAGAAAGGCCGGGTCATCCTTTCCTGTTGAGGCTGTCAAACAGAGAGGTGATAGGTGTTGTACATCTTGTTTGCTTCCTCTGGAAAACGTATTTAGTTTCCACCCACTCCACAGAGCCTTCCTTTTCCAGAACACAGTCTTGTCTCATCATCAGTCTGCCTGTCTTTTTGTTGGGATGTATGTCCCATTACTAAGAGGACCAAAAAGCTCAGTTTGAGATTGTTATACCCCCTCCTCCTCCTTTACAGCAGTAGCTTTCTGGGTCTGTAGGAAGCAACTGATGCCAACTCCTTTTGGAAATGAGCCATTAACCCAGGGGTCCTCAAACTTTTCCACCAGGGGCCAGCTGAAAGCTGCCGGTGCTGGGCGCGGGCCGGAAAGGGGGTGCCAGCGATGTGCGCGGGCCGGCGTGGGGGCGGGAGTGGTGTGTGTGGTGAGGTAAGGTGAGGCACAGGTGGGTGTGCGTGGGGAGACGCGTGTGGGGGGCACACGCCGTGAGGCGGGCGCGCAAGGCAGCGGCTTGCTCGCTTGGAGATCGTTTCCTCCGAGTGAGCAAACCGCTGCCTCCCCACACGCAGGGCGAGGTGGGCAGTGGAGGGTGCACACGTGGGTGCCAGTGCGTGCACGGCAGGTCCAAATGGGCATGGTGGGCCGGATCTGGCCCCCAGGCCGTAGTTTGAGGACCCATGCATTAACCCCTGCTCTCTGGCCCAGTGCCCAACCCTGCACATTGCCTGTGAGAAGCTGTACCAACTGAAGCTACAACTAAGTTGATAAGTCATCCTTGTCCTTTTTAATTGGCATAATGCATATATGTTTGCCCCCTTCTTTTGAAAAGTAATGCTGCCTTACACAAAATCTTAAGAAAGCAAATTATTTGTAAGAAGAAAAAAGGAAAACCCATGCAGTAGAAATCCATCTTTATTAGGCCAGCTCAAAGATCACAGAAGTTGCAGAATTTCCAGATTTTTTCATCAGAGAACATGTTACAAAAAGTTGGTTTGCAAGGAGAAAATGGTGGTGGAAAGGGCTGATTAGGTGGTCTAGTCGGGATGTCTGCATGGTCAGAGCTTTAAGAAACTATGGAGGAGGAGGGATTGTAGATATTATAATTGGGATCTGCCAGGTAATATGATAATTTCAGGGTGTAATGTTGTTATGACTACTAAAAAGAAGAAAGTATCAGAAATGGTGAACCTCCATTTTTGAAAATTTCAAATCCATCTCTCTCCACCTTGGACAAATCAGTTTCCCTGATTGATGAAAAGCAGAAATGCAGATTAGTTAAGTGGTCTTCATATTAATAAAGCCAGAGATAAACCATATTCTTTTTGTTGTTGCTGTTGTTTCCTCCCCTGCTCTGCACAGATGAAATTCCAGATGTTTACATTGTAGAGCGCCTCTTTTCCAGCAGCCTGGTGGTGGTGGTGAGTCGGTCAAAGCCTCGGCAGATGAATGTCTACCATTTCAAGAAAGGGACGGAAATCTGTAACTATAGTTATTCTAGTGATATCCTCTCCATCCGCCTCAATCGACAGGTAAGGGTTAGGGGCTTTGCTTGCTCCTATGTCATCAAGGAGTGTGATGGGAATTGTCTTGCATGTATTGGTTAGACTTCATCCTTTTGACATCATCTTGCATATCCAGATTTTTTTTTTTTTGCGCAAAGTAGTCCCTTTGACTTAGTGGAATTAATACAACTAAAACAAAGTATGTCTGTAGGGATATGCATTTATTTAGATATTTATATGCCATTCATTATTGTGATATTGTCCCTGTCATCATAGTCATTTGTTTAGAATCAAAGGCAAGCCTCTAGCATGGGAATGGGCAACCTTACCTGAGGTGCAGCCTTTCAAATTACCCCAGCATACGTAGTATAAAGTATTTCACTGTAGTGGCAACTTTTGTATACAGTAGCCTCATCACATCTCTTGGTAGGTTAGGAACAGCCTTCATCCAGCATGGTTCCAGGCCTTAACAGTTAAATTTCATGAAATTTATGAACAATGTTATTCAATTTTTCATAACAGCAGAGCTTTTGTGCTGTTGATGTTATGCATTGGACACCCTGGTGGAAAATCTTAGTTTTGTAAAGGGAGTAATCATTTTAATTTGAATTGCTGAGACCCTTGGGTTCCAGAATCGTTATTAGTTACACATGTTGGCAATACTAGATCTTGGCTTCTAGCTATGAAAGGGCATGGTTGGTTAGAGAGAGAACTGAAATGTCAATATAACCTATTTCTTGAGAGCTGAGATGCTGTTACTTATCCTTGTTGGGTTGTATCTTGAGCACTGGTTCCAGACAATGACATCCTTGGCTTTTTTGAAGTAAGAGCAGGTGCTTCTAATTTGAAGGACTGAGATCCTGTTTCAGTGCTCTCTGCTACCCATGCAGGATTCTTGAATGATTAGAAAAAGGATGGGAAAAGTGGGAATTCACAAGAGGATTACAAGTGGATGACCGTGATATCTGCCTCACTTGTAAGACAGGACAATTGTATTAGAAACATGGCGGGGGGACACTGCCTGTTTGAATGGTGGTCACACAAATGCCTTTGGAAGGCTTGCCAGCAGACCATGAAAGTGTTGGATTTTCAATTGCTTATCTTGGATATATGGTAACCATAGCTACACTGCAGCTGGGTAACCCTGAGAGGTCTCTCTTTACTCTCACCATGCTATATAGAATGTATTGATCCTCTCTGGTGCCTCACCACCTTAGTGATGGGTTTTCCAAACTGAAACACCCTATATTCTCAAACCTTTTCCTGCAGCGAAGCTCTTTAATCATTTTACTTGACTCTTCCTTTTGGCATACCCAGATTTCCATGGTCACACCAGGGTAGGGGAAGTGGGTGCTCAGCTTTCTTTACTACTGGGATGCTCCCATAGTACAGAAAAAATATTGGAAGGCTGCAACTACTTAAAGCCATGTAGAGGAAATATATGTGCTTGAACTCCTGCACGCACAGCTTATTGTTCCTGATGTAATTGTTGGCACATGGAATTGGCACCTAATCTGAGCGATAGCAAGTGTGGGGTTGCTTCTCAGCCCAGGGTTTCCTCATATGTATGTAATGCTGCTTTTTAAAGGTCAACCCACCTTTAAAAAATCCATAGAATTGCAGCAGGTTTGCTGAGACAAAGGCTAGAGTGCTTATCTTAGAAAGGAGATGGTTGTAAGGAAATAAGGTAACATTCAATAGAAGGAATGATTATGCTATCACACAAGGACTACTGGGGATTTATTTCTAAAAAGACGAATTAATAGCAGGATTTAAAAGACCAAACAAGTACTACTTTCTTTGAGGAACTTAGTATCATAGGAAGTTCTTTATGCCATGTAATTGTATTTCTGAGTTCAAAGAATTCATGGTTGCCAATAAAGATGGCTGAGAAATGCCCTTTTATTGGGAACCCTTTTTACCACCCTAGTATTAAATCTGAGGCACTGGAAAATGCTGAAGTGATGTTGTTCGGAAGGCACCACTGAACTGACTAGTGCGGCCACTCAGCAATGCTGTTTTGGATGCCATGGACAGAAAGCATAAAGACTGTTCTGTAATCTTTATGTGGTTTCAAGTAGTGAAGCATATCTCTGAAGTTAAAGAGAGAAAAAGAGGGGGAAAATAACATTTGTAACTATGGAATAGAAGGAATAGCTGAGCTACAAACCTTCCCAGGGCACTTGATATGACTTGATGGGCTTCTTGAATGTTTCAGGCATTTCCTTTTCATAAAATCATACAGTTGGAAGGGCCCAGAAGGCCACTGGGTCAAAGTACCTGCTCAGTTCTGAATCTGTTTTTTCCCCTCCTTGCAGAGACTGATTGTTTGCTTAGAAGAATCTATTTATATTCATAACATTAAAGACATGAAACTTCTGAAAACAATCCTGGACACCCCTCTGAATTCAACAGGTAAGGGAGCAAACATCTCTCTCAGAGAAAAGTTGAGAGAGATGCATTTGGTTCAGGAAGTCTGGAAGCTCATTAGAGGGATTATTCAAGGAGAAGGAAGATTATATTTATTGTTACTTATAGCTTATGTTGCTTTGTTGTTACTGCATTTTTATGATATTCTTGTTGCCTTTTATCTATTGCTGTAAACTGCCCAGAAGACTTCAGCTATTGTGCAGTATAGAAATACTAAAAGTTGCCGCTGCTGTTATTTTCCTGGCCCCCGTTTCAACAGAGTGCCATGTCGAAGCCCCTCTAGCTGCATTCTTAAATTGAAAGTTGTCTTCTCATTTATTCAGTTACCCAAAAGAAAGTATTCATTTGGTTCTGTGCTTCTAAGGGTTGCTTTCTCCTCCTTTTCCTTCAGGTTAGTTGCAGCAGGTGTAAGTGTAAGTGTAAGTGGATAATCAATTAGATTATAGCCCTAGGCCTATTCTGACCCCTCCTCCACCCCAAAAAAGCAATGGAATCCTGTCAGCGGTAGTTATCCTTGTGCTGAGAACTGTTGGGCCCCCTCCTCCACTCTATGCTCCCTGCTGCTAGTGAAACCACTACAGTCTCTGTCTCTGATCTTCTGTTTTTCTTCCATATGCCTTATCCAGCTTTAATGCTTTCACCAGCCTAGGATGATGAAGCTTTTCAGCAGTTGAGGGTGAAATATTACAGCCTCATCTGGAAGCACCCACACTGAAAATTTTGCTAGCATCTTGTACTTGCATTTCTGCAAACTTATCTTGGGCCAAGATGGATCAGAGTGAGGTGGGGAGAAACTTTTACTGCTGTCCATGTCCCAGTCCTAGCATCCTCATGGTCTCATTTTCCACTCTACTCTTTACCCTTCAAGGGTTTTTGCTTTTTGATTTATGCATAATATTGGGATATCTTCCAGTATGTGGCTTGAAAGTTCCTCTTTCTTCTTTTTCCTCTTGAGAGAGTGTAGCAATATTTCTCTGCTGGCCTTATCCACAAGTCGGTGGTGTTATAACATACCATCTTGCATCACTACTTACACTTTGGTATTTGCCATGAACAGTAAACTTTAGAAAGGGAGCAATTTGAGTTGATACCAAGGTGTGACTGGTGGTTTTTTTTGCCCTCCCTTTGCTTTCCATGCATTTTTAAAATGCAGGAGTTAGGCATTTGCATCTCCAGGCTGCTATCCATGACCCTTTGCTCCTGCTCCCCACCCAACCAGGTGCACACATACTAACAAGGCTCCATGCTCTGTCTGGACATGCTGGGTTTTCACAGGGTTAAGCTTTAGTTTTATGAGATTCTGGAAAACCTGATGTGCCAAGTGCATGATGGAGATAGTGAATATGGATTGTCCTTTGATTCTAGAGAATTATACTTTCCCAAATGTGAAATAGTAGAATGTCTGTCTGTATCCTTAGTGGCAAAGGATGTAACATACCCTTTGTACCTCATGCATGATTGTGTTGGTAAAGACTGGGATGAAGAATATGGCTATCTTAGGGACTGCTTTTACTAAATTGAGATATCCATCCCAAGTTTTCTTAAAAGCAGGTTCAGTGGAATATGTCACTGAATTCATATGGTTAGGATTTGGCTATTGTTATGCTTCCAAACCTTATTCCCCCCACATGTGTTGGGACCCATAATTTCCAGCCAGCATGGTCAATGGATGGGAATTATGGGAGCTGTACGTCAACAGCTACACTTAGTTGGGGAAGGCTATTTAATACTACATTTAATACTTAATGGGAAGAAATCTCCCTGGAAGGGGGAATAGTAGTTCAGATTCCAGCCTGTTTTAACCTACAGAGCAGCTCCGTATTCCAATTCAGAATGTTCTTCAGAGTTACTATTTTAGAGTTATTGTTTTGCAAATACCTTAGAGATACTGCTCAGGAAGCATGCTTACTGCTAAGAACAGCTTTGACATGATTTATACATTATTTATTTAATAAACATGATGCTGGGCTGCAGAAAAGCATACCTTTGTGGCATTCTGTATGACTGGCCTCTCGCTTAAATTGAGCGCCCAAGCTATTCTCCCTTTTTCTGCTCTTCCTGGGGAAGGGGAGGGAGAAGGCTTCTGTGTGTGCGGTGCACATTCCGTGATTCCTCATAGTCCCACTGCACACGTGTGGAAAAGGTCATGTGTGGCTGCTCATCCTGTCTAAGAGCAGGATTTTCAACTATGTGACTGAGGAGCAATCTTTAGCTGGCTCTCACTCTGGATCAGTCTGGTATAACTGAAGGTTACATCCCAAGGCCACCCAGTTGTTCTACCTTCTGGTGGAGAAACCCCTGAAATCATGGTCGTAGCCATCAATTTTAAATGCCGCAATCCTTCTTTATTGAGCAGTAACTAGCTTTCTGTCATTGTCCCCCACCACTGATTATTTAACCTCAGCAGTTGCTAAACGTACCCTTTTGCTTCATAACCTCAAGCAGCCTTGGCCAAGACCTTTCAGGAAAAACCTGACCACAGCTTCAGTCTCAGCTAAATCGTACAAGAAGTCACAGTGGAGAGGAAATGGCCACAGTGCTATCTTCCCTGCCCCATCCCTGCCCATTCCTTTCTATTTTTCCTCAATTGCTATGCTTCCAGCCCATGGCTCTTTGGTACTTAACTGAGGTAAGTTGGGTTGCACATTGTGAATACACCAGTAACTGTGAGGTAGATCAGGCTGAGAAGTAGTTGCTGCCCAGTGAGCTTCATGGCTGAGTGGGGATTTGAACCTGAATCTCTCCAGTCCTAATAGAGAAGATGAGAGGCAGACTATGAATCCAGTAAAGGCAGCATCAGGAGAAGACTAGATTCTGGAAAGCCCACATTGGAGGCTGTGTGTGCTTCTGGTGCCCTGCTAGGAGGGCAACTAACCAGGACGTCTTGGTGAGCAGAACCTGACTTGCTGTTAGTCCATAAGAGGTGAGCCAGACTAAGTGGACCCTTTCCCAACCCTTGTATGCTTGATTCAGTGGCACAGTTAACAAGCAGAAAATGAATGCCTTGTGGGTTCCTTTGGAAACTATTCTTTGACCCACTTCAGGCTCTTAACAGATGGCTGCTAGCTGCAGATTAAGCCCATTGAAAGCTTTGGATATGATTAAATGATATTTTTAAAACCCTCCACTACAGCTCACAAAGGCATAGACAACCAGTGGCTGGAGCACTGAACCTTAAATGAACTCCAACTCTGTTTCAAAATTATTGACAGAAGTGAATAATGCTCACTGAAAGGGCTCTAACTTGATCATATTTTTTTCTCAATTCTGTTTCTATGGAGCTCTGCGATGATGGTCCTGGGCCAATCCTAACCATATTCACTTGGAACTAAAAGCCATTTGATTTAATTAGGATTAACTTTTGAGCCATCCAGTTTTAGAATGGCAGCCTGATCCTTTGGCTGCTTACTCAGAGTAACTTTGCTGAGTTCACTAGTACTTGGGCTCCAACTTCCTCCAGTGGTGGCAAACCTGTGCCTTCAAATGTGGTTCTGCACGAATCCCTTTTAAACAGCAGGGCCAAGGTTGTAATTTAAAGCACTGAGGATGAAGCAGGCAAAGCGTGCTGATCTCCTCCTGCTTGCTACTCTTTCGGCCCCTGCAGGCTGCCCACAGGGGCCCTTTCTCTCCCCTTGCCCTGTGAGGCTGAGGCTAGACATGATCATGGGAAAAGGATGCCAGGAGGAAGGACTATGGCGATCAGGACAGGTGGGTGGAGGGTTCAGTAGCCCTCAGCCCTGGGCATCTTCAACACTTTAGTTCAAATGTGTTACCTTAAATGTGCGGGTTGGCCTTGCATTTTATCTGGATTTTATTTAAACTTTATTTTAAGTTCCTGGGGGAGTGGACAGTGAATAGAACTGTGGTGTAAATGCAGGGCCTTTTGAAACCATTCTTTAAAAAGCCTATTGCGGTCCCAGTGGAAATCACCAAATTCCACCCCCACAGAACTTTGAGGTGGGGATTTGCATGAAGCCTGTATTTGAAAAAAAGCAGGCATTTCTGAACTGCAAGTCTCGCATGAATTATTCTATTTTTACCAGAATATAGTACATCACTCATTAAGCTCCTGAAAGACTGGTCCATGCAGGCTTAATTTAGACTGCACACTATCAACTTCAATCCAATAGGATACAGCTCTGCATAAACCTGAACCAACCTTTCTGCATTAGGGTAGCCACTGGGGCTTCACAAAGTGGTGTAGAGGAGGTGAGATGCTAGCTTGCCTCTTGCCCTGCAGTGTCCTTTTGCCCTCAACCAAGAACACTGGTCTTATTCCACAGAAGTGAAAAAGTTGGGGCAAGGCCATTAATATGCCTGCCAAACTGTATCTGAGAGGCAAAATACATTCCTGTCACTCAGGTCCTCAATAGTGTATCCTGGCATGAGAAAACTGCAGGCCTGCATATTTGCGTTTTTCAGAAAAGCGATGGCAGTGAATGGGTCACCCTGTGGATGGAGTGTTTAGCTTAGAGAGCTCTTTGTACCAGCTTCACACTAGCAAGCCAACTCTGCTTCTCCAGGGAGGCTCTTTCTAGGTGTCTCTTTTGTAACGCATCCTTTGTCCAGCAGTTAAGGTTTCGTTACTTCCCCAAAACAATACCTGAAACTGAGAAATCCTGGTTCTTTCTGAGGCTTCATGCTTCAACCCATTTGCTTCAAACTCTCCCACCAATGTCCTTCTCCAGTTGCATCTCCAGTATATGATAGGAAGCAGAAAAGCTCCATAAAATTGTGAAAAGTTTGAATACTGCTAGATCAGCTTTGGTCCTAAGATGGCACTATGCTGATTCTATATCACTTAGGCTTCTGGGCCAACACTGCCACTGCCATTTGCTGATAATCCCAAATTAGGTCTGACCCAGTGCCAAGTTATATTGTTAATACAGGCAGAACATTCTGTACTAGTACAAGCCATCATTGCCTCTAACCTGTAGCAGGACTACTGTGACATGTAGCAGCAGGAGCAACCTGACATTCACAAGGGACACTTGCTAGCATTATGCCCCCTCCTTGGCAAAGCATAGGTTTTTCCTTATTGGAGAAATTCTTTGGTAATAGACTAAACAAGTTTTGAATGCACAGTTATCTTAAGACAGCACCCTAAGATATTCTGCTTTTCTATCTTCTGTATCATTTATATACAAAGCATAGTCCTCTTTGGAGATCCCTCACACACCAAACCCTTAGGGTGCAATCCTATGCATGTTTAGGCAGAAAAAGATTTGTACAATTCCCAGCACTCTCTAGCAATGGATAGGGGTGTGAACTTAGTCTCAGAACTGAGTTTATCATCACTCAGCCATTAGTAAATTTGCAAACCTGCTAGCAGAAGGTGAGGATAGAAGTTGGTTCCACATGGAGGGGTAGACAAGAAAATCTTCTGTGCTTTGGGAGGAAGAAAGCCCCCTCTCCACCAGATATCAGAAGGGGAAAATGTGGACTCTGAGGGATGAACCATGGCAGTTGAGGGCAGTGTGCAAGATGCAAGGAGAGGAAATGTGGCTGGGGGAAGAAGAGAGAGGCCGAGTTGAATGTGCCTTCCATTCCATTCTCATTCTGCCTAGCCAGGGCTGTCCCCAGATGTCAGGCAGTTCCTAGTGGGCACCTCTGCTGGGCTGGTATTCAGTGTCTCTGGCAACCTTCTCTCTAGGTACTGGCATCCCTGGGCTTAGCTGGCTCCGTAGTCAGGCAAAAGCGGCAACAGTAGCGTAGCATTGTGCTGCAGCAGGGCCGGGCAGCATTGCAAGAGTCGTGGTGCCTCAAGGAAGGTAGGAACCTGGCAGCAACTGTGGCGGCACCCCAGACACCATGGGGGCACAGCAGGCAGCAAATGGCCATGCTTCTAGTGGCTTACCAGCTGACAGTATCCTAGACAGAATGCATCTGCAAGAGCAGCTTGATGCCTGGGGTTCACGGGAAGCTATACCCGTGGCTTTACGCTGGCCAGTGCTCAAAGCTCATACTTTTTTTTTTTTTTTTTAAAGGGCAATGGTATCTGTGATGGGTCCTGCATGAACTGGCAGCCATCCAAGGATGCTGCAGGCTGGTGCTCAGCCTGAGGGAGCTGTATGGAATGCAAGCAGAGCATCCCATCCTCTCTCTCTCACCCCCCACCCCAAGTTTATCTAAGGAGAAGGCTAGTCTGCTTGCTTTCTGTTTTAGACTGCCACATTTCTTGCACTTGAGGCATGTTTTTCATGCCCAGGAGCTGTGGGCCATTGAATTGGTGAGTTAGGGGTAAGGGAGAATCATGATTAGTCTACTGTTTGTTATTTTTAATTAACGTAGTCCTAAGTAGGCAGTATCTTGGCTCTGAAGGGGAGAAAGAGAGCTATATTGTGGTAATACCATGAAGATAAAATTCAAAAGGGGAGAAGAGTTGTAATAAAAACTTGTATTACATGTCTAACAATGTTAATCATTCAGAGGCTTAAAGTGGGTTTTTTGTTCAACATTAAAGAAGAAATTGAGTTAAGAAAACCTTTGCAAGTGAATTTAACAAAGAAAGCTCTTTTTTAAAATAGTGATATATGAGGTTATGATTTTAAATCCTCAAGATACTCAATTTGGAGACTTTTCATGAGACTCTACTTCTCTATTTTTTGTTGTCATAGCTACTTTTAAGATAAGCTGAACGTTCTTTAAAAATGTTTATGCATGTGAATAATGGAAATCTACAATGTAGAAATGCAGTAAACAAGCAATATCAAGAGCTATTCATAGCAGAGAAAAACCTTTTCATGTTAATATCTAACATATATATATTTCATTAAAAAACAAGTTATTTTCAAAAGTAGCTCAGCTTTTTTGTCTATCCTCTCTGCCAACTCCGCAGGAGGACATGCTGATTCTCAAGCACTCCGATTTTCAAGACTTGGGCTAGCCACTAATATATATTAGGTTTGGCTTGCCCTGAGCTTTGAGGGCTGTGGCCTGGACACATGGAGGAGCTGGGCAGAGGAGTTCTCCCTTCAGTGGTTGGTGGACAAGTTTGTGACTGTTCTTGAGCTGCCCTGAAAATTTCCGTCTCCTTGAGACTGCATGGTCCTACTTGACTAAGGGTCATGCTGGTATTCAGCCAGCAAAGTCAGTTTAAAAAGAAAAGTGCCCTTTGGGAAACAGCTTGATAACAGGCCAGATGAGGGCAGCTCCTCAGCTTTGAGGGCTCTCTTTTGGCAGGGCTGCAGCTTTCGGGCCGCTTGTGCTCTCACTGTATCACCCGTGTCCAGCTGAATTCTTTCCCAGGCCCTTCACAGCCTCTTCTCCTGCTTAACCCTTCCACTCTTCTAGCCGGCTTGCAATCCTGCTGACTTGCTTTGTTTATTTTCAGAATTCCCTAGATCCTAAGTCATCTTTCCTACTGGTTATAGAAAACAGCCTTTACTAAAATATTCTTTCGGAGGTTTTTTTTGTCTCAGATTGCAAGCTTCCTTTTCAAGCTATTTCCTGACTCTTTCATTGTTGTTATCTGACTTGGCTACTACAGAGATCCGTTCCGGTGAGCGGCAGTTTGTGTTCCCCTATTTTCCCCTTCACCTCTTCTGCTTTCCCTAATCATCCGGCCCATCGAGTCTTGCAAGTGTGACAGTTGCGCACAAGCAGGCTCTGACCTGACATTATTCCCTTTGCTCTGTTCTGTGTTGGCATGGGTGCTAGTGATCTTGGTCTTGCGGACCGGCTGATGCATCCATTCATGCAAGTCTGTGGGACCAGGAAACCAGGGTAAGGAGGCCATGAGCATAGGTGTTCTGAGAAAATATATGTGTGTACTGTCTTGCGAGCCAGCTAAACATGCAGCAAGGAGCCAAGAGTGTGGTATCTACCCTGTAGTTAGGTAGGCTAAGGAATTGAATTGAGGCCCTAGATAACACAGCTGGAAGTTAGACCAAAAAAAGAGAGCCAGTGTGGTGTAGTGGTTAAGAGCATGGGACTGGGACTCAGATGATTGGGGTTCTAGTCCCCACTCGGCCATGGAGCCAACTGGGTGACTTTGGGCCAGTCACAGACTCTCAGCCCAACCTACCTCACAGGGTTGTTGTTGTGGGGAGAAGATGGAGGAGGAAAATGATGTAAGCTGCCTTGAGCCCTTTGTAGGAAAAAGGCAGGATATAAATCGGAAAAAAATATCTGGTCAGAATCTGCAGTTTCTATATATATATCAGCAGCTCACCGAGAGACTCCTTATTTCTTTATGTACATTAGGCGAGGGGAACATATGGCCCCTCCAGTGTGTTAGAACTGCAACTCTCTTCACCACCAACTGCTGGCTACTGGGAGTTGTAGTCCCACAGAGCTTCATGTTCCCCACCCCTGAGTTCCTTCCTGTCCTTCCTTAAGTAGCACAGAGTGACATACATAGTTCTGTTTTCCCTTCTTAGCACTTGTATCCTCTCAACAACTGTGTGCGGTGATTTAGACTAATGGAGAATAATTTGTCTAATTTGGAAGAAAGAAAGGTGGCAGGCTGGGCTGCGTATAGTGCTCAGTTTGTTTCCTTTTGTTTTTTCAGGAAGGGGAATCAAACAGGAACCTTTGAAAGAGGGGCCTACTTCTCATTCAACCCTAATTTCAACCCACATTGTCTTGTTGAATTAGAAAAGTTCTGGAAAAATGATACACAAGAGGATGTTGAAGATTAAAAGCAACCTAAAATGTGCAATAAAAATAAAGAAAAGTCTAAAAGTGTGTTAGAAAACCAAAATGGTTTCCACTTAAAAGCTTACTGCATGGTTGTTGGAACTGTGTACAGAAACTCTTGCCTGTTTCTTCTGGTGATGTGATATGCCCAGCAATTCCAGCCCAAGGTGGCTGTTCAGAGATCTGTAGAAGCAGGGCCAGCTAAGTGGTAGTGTTGGCTCTTACTGCGTGCTTGATCGGGACAGGTAACCATCTCTCCATGTGACTACGACTCCCATGCAATAAGCTTTTCAGCAGCAGACATGCGGTTCAGAGGTCCAAAGAAAATCATGACGCTCTTTTCAACATGGCAACAAAAATGCCCCCAATGTCCTCACCTGCCTTTTAGTTTGCATGTTGTGCATCAGATAATAATATCAGCCTCCAAAGAATTCAGGAGGCATCTCTCAGACATTCTGCCAAATGGGGTGTTCTTTTTAAAGTGTGTAATATCAAGGAGCTAGTAAGTTTGTGAAAGGAGAAAAATGGAATATGCTTTTTTGGGACAGAATTTGCCTTATGAATTCTGGGTGAGGGCAAAAGCACTGACGGGTGCTGAATCTTCACTTACCTGTAGGTGTCACCAGAGTCTGACGGATTTCCTGCTGGAAGCCGGCATCTCAGACTAGTGCCAAAATGGTGCAGGTTGCACTTCCTCAGTTGAAGCCATGTTAATGCCGCTGCCCTTAAGCAGCCTGCTCAGCATCTGTGTGATCATGCTGTTTTTTCCTCCTTGCTAGGTTTATGTGCACTTTCTATCAACCATTCCAATTCCTACTTAGCATACCCTGGTAGCACAACTGTCGGCGAGATTGTGTTATATGACGGAAACAATTTGGTAAGTGCAAAAGTGGCTCATTATGAGCTGGGTCACAGACTCAGTGACAACTTCATGTGAAAACTCTTTCAACACAGCCTGCCACTTATTAACACATGCTGAACTCCTGCTCGGTTTTAGGCACGCAGGAAGCCGCTTAATTAGGAGTCAGATAACAAGTACATCCAGTTCTGTGTTGTCCACGGTGCATTGGGAATGACTCTCCGGGGTTCTGGGCAGGAATTTTTCTTAGGCCTACCTGAAGAAGCACAAATGTAACCTCTTTGTGACTAAGAGCAGGACTAGAGCCAGATTGCAGGACTCTTCTTTAAAGGGACTGTTGTCTCCTCATTCCTAAACCCTTTTAATGCAAATGCTGGTAGAATATAGCTGATGTCACCCTTCCCAAGCTGCCTCTGTATGAGGGGCTGCTAGAAAGTAAAGTGGAAGTTATGTTTGGCCAATTAGGAGAATATCGAAAGTTCGTGTGTGTGTGTGTGTGTGCGCGCGCGCGCGCACGCGCGTGTGTGCGTGTTTTGGTCTGCGGTAGTGCTTTTCTGTGGACACATGCCCACACAATTCTGAACCATGGGTTGAGACATTTTTGGGCTTCTTAAACTAATTTTATCCCCCCACCCATTAACAGAGAGATGTCTGCTCAATTTCTGCCCATGATGGACCCCTTGCTGCCCTAGCCTTCAACTCCACAGGATCAAAGCTAGCAAGTGCTTCTGAAAAGGTGAGTAGGCAAAATGGCTCAGAGAGAATCACAAGTAGTACTTGGATTTTCCTAGGGGTGCAGGGCAATAGAGGGGTTATTATTTCCATTTCAATATGTTGGCAAAGTTATTATTTTCCTTTTCTCCAGGAAAAGGCCTCCAGAATTTCATTTATTTCTTTCTGTTTTATGCTTTATGCCACCTCGACTTTCCCTCAGCATGGAGAAATGTATTCCAGTGCTGCATATTTAAAAGGTTCATCTGGAGAATGTAAAAAACTGTTAGTATGAATTCTTGTCATCTTCTAGCCTATTATAAATTATGAAGCAGCAGAGTTGTTTTGATGTTAGATATGTATGAAAACCAGTTATAAAATGGTGTGTGTGTATGAGAGAGAGAGAGAGAGAGAGAGAGAGATGATTAACTATCAAGCCCATTCACTTGAAATGCTTGGGGAATTCAAGGGGCTTTGGAGGAATTAAAAGCTAATTTCTGTGAGGTAGCTGGCAAAGGATTAACCATCCCCTATATGCAACACAGGAAATGGCCAGGAGTAATATGCTTAGAAATAGTTTCTGTGTCTTTTTGATCTAAGCATCTCTCCTTGGAAGTGAGTTCCGTTCAAATCAGTGCAATCTGCTTCCATGCTACAAGTGAGCAGCAAGGCTTCAAGCTTAAATGAACATGCAGTTTCATCTTAAGTATGTTTACTCCCAGATCTTATATTTAAAGCATTTTTAAATGGCTGTGTAGCCCAGAAGACTCCCAGAGTATCTCATAAAGACCCGTAGTATGAAAGTTCATACCCTTTGCCTTGCACTTAAAAAGCCATGGCACACAAGAAAAAGGGTAGGCAAGAAGAATGAAAAGTATTTATGATCAGGCACCTCCTCTAACGTTATCTGCTAGCGCTGATGATGTTGCAGGTCTGTTATGTGTCTGTCAGTACTGCTGTCTGTCTGATTGCCGGGTCTTATTAACTCTTCTGTGAAATCACCAGGGAAAAGTACTACTGTCCCCATTTGTTCTGATTTCTACTTTTCTGACTTCTAGTGTTATATATTTTTCTTCAGGGAACAGTCTTTCGTGTGTTCTCTATCCCTGAAGGACAAAAGCTCTATGAATTCAGAAGAGGAGTGAAGAGGTCAGTCTGATGCTCACAAACCACTGGCCTGGGTCCTTTCCTAGGAAATCTTTGATTGGGTGGGTTGTAGGCACTGAATGTGCTTCGAGCCAATGTGACTGCTGCGAACCACACACTGATCCCCCAGGTGCCCCCTCTGCTTCCTTTCCCAGCCACTGGATGGCACGTATCTGGGGAAGGTTCTTTTCATATGGGAGTTGCTGGTGGCATGTCTCATAGGGACAGTGTCAGCATAAGGCAGGTCTGGGCAACTTGCAGCCCTCTTGTTTTGGCCTAGAATTTCAGTCAGTCATAGCCAATAATGATGGATGCTGGGAGTTGTAGTGCCAACACATCTGGGGGGTCACAAGTTGCCCCACTCTGGTATGTGGATGTTAATGATATGTTGTACCTGTTTTTGGCAGGATGTTGGTGGAGGAGGACTTCCTTATTCCTCCTTTTTAACCTAAAGCACCAAGGGAATTGTAATCTAGTTGCATCCCCAGGAAAATTGCAGAAGTAATTTCCACATAACTGTCCAAGTACCACTCTATTTGTACAAGTCTTTCTGATGTCAGAAGCATTTGGCAAATATGATTCAGGAGCCAGTTCAGGGAAGACAGGCTTGCCCAAGTCAATTCATGGCTGAGCTGAGATTTTGAAGTGTGGACTTGAGAGCTCATCCCCTTAACCATAATGGCCCATTGCCCTGCATGCTGTTTGCTCAGGCCAAAGATACGAAGAAGCCTGATGGAGTGAATGCTTAGCTACAGGCTTCATTTGATTGATGTGCTCCCATGCAGATCTCCCCACTCTCCTTAATTTAGGCCATCTTAGCTTGGGCTAACCTTTTCTTGTTTGGTGCCAGCTGCAGCCACCCTGTTTTCTTTCCTGGGCCTTAGGTACGTGAACATCAGCTCCCTAGTGTTCAGCATGGACTCACAATTCTTGTGTGCATCAAGCAACACTGAGACAGTGCACATCTTCAAGCTGGAACATCTCACAGACAGGTGGGTATCGGGAGAGTGGTGTGTGTCCGCCATGGGGAGCGTATCTGCATCATCCAGGTCCCTCCTCAGCAGGTTACTGAGGTAGTTGATTACTGAGGCTTCCCTTTCTCTTTAGGCAGGGGGAAGCGTCTCACAGCAGATAAGGCAAGATTGTAGGCAGCCCTGGTTTGCTTAGCAGAAGGCTTTCCATCATCTCTCCTAAATTGCTGTAGCGATGTTTCCCTAGATGAGTCCATTGCAGCTTTGACTTGGCAGTGTGATTCGGCACTGACCCAGAAAACCTTCAAGCAGAATGGAAGATTTGGCTCGTACACAAGGCAGCACTGCCAGTTGGCCCCAGGGTATGGGATCTGGGCATGGCTGTGCTCTGACTGGATCATTCCCAGCAAGTGACTGCAAGGGGGGCTTTTGCAAGGCGTACAGCCGGCAGTGTGAGCCCACATAGCTTGGATGCAGCTGCAGTGCCATGCTGTGTAATACGCTTCCCGTGAGGAATGGTGCTGGCAGGACAGGGGTAGTGGCTGTAGGATCAGTCGGAGAACCAAAAAGAGCAGGAACTTGGGACTGGGACTGAGAATGGAGAGAAAAATGGATCTAGCATCCGTTGACCCAAGACGGATTCTGTGGTCTAGCCAAGCCCGACCACTTGGCCATGACAGTTACCCAGGTCCTTTCAGTCTCCTCTGCTGAAGAGATGGCTGGGTTACGGCTCAGCTGTAACCATACGCCTGCAGAGTTTGTGGCTGGTCCTGCCTTCGGTCTTCGCTATGCCCAGCTTCTGTGGCTGGTTCCTGCTACTAGCATATCCAGCCACCTCTGGCCACATGTATGCGTCATGACCCTTTGGCTAGGTTGTGTTTTTCCCTGTGCCACTTGGCTGCAGCATGGCATTTGCTTCTAGGTAACTCGCAGCTGCCTGCTAAGCAGCCGCTGGAGGCAAATGTGCCTTTAATACAATAGTGGGCATCCTCATTAGTAGGCTGGGATGAATGCTCCCAATTTGTAACATAGGCACAAGTCTTGGGAAGTAATTTCCTCTCACTGTTCAGGTTCTGTTTGTCCTGAATTAGATTTCAAGTTAGAGCACTATCTTGCTTACCCCGTTGTCTTTGCAATCCATTAAAGTTTAGTGAGAAGGTGCTTCCATAATGGCTTTTTGTGAAATGGTTTGCACTGCACAGGGCATGTCTGATGGGTCATTCCAGTCACACCTCTGCATACGACAGTTGGGCCCATTTATCATGAAGACGTATGATAGCCTATAATAGTCTTGCCAAGCTATTCTCCTCCATGCTGGAGCAGACAGGTCAGATAAGGCAAGGTGAATTGTGCCTGTGGGCCTTATCGGAAGAAACTTCTGAGACACATGCACGCACACGCACGCACATTAGATAACTGATATAAATCTTACTTGCACATCAATTTCGGGCCTGCTGTTTTGGGCCTTTGATACATTTTAGAAAAATTCCCCTGCCCCAAGCTGCTTATGGTGTGATATTAGCAGTGAAGAAGACTCGAAAGGGAAAGCAGCATAAAGAGGCAGGCATTAAAGGGGTCAGGAAAGTTGTGTGCATTTAGGTTTTGGGGCCGAGGACTGCATTGCTGATACAGTGCTGCTCCTTATTGTAGCAGCTAGACAAGGAAGTGTAGTAACTTCTGCTTTGTCTCTCCTAGCCGGCCTGAAGAACCCCCATCCTGGAGCGGCTACATGGGCAGGATGTTCATGGCTGCTACCAACTACCTCCCTTCTCAAGTGTCAGGCATGATGATCCAGGACCGGGCCTTTGCCACCGTGCGCTTGAACATTTCTGGACCAAGGAACATCTGTGCGCTCTCCACGTATGTAAACAGTGGCTGTAATGGTGGACAGAGCAGGAGCTCCTTCTGCTTGCAGAAATGTTTCGTTAAGCAGCACAAGACAGAATCACTTCTCTGCTGCGTTATATGCACCCTGGCTTCATTTAGTGCCAAAGTTCCTTGGTTCTCACTTGACTTCATGGCAAGGCAGTTGTTTTAAATGATTCATATCACTGTTCTTATAACTCATACATTGGACAACTTTTTCCTAGTCAGGAAATCTGCAAAAAAAGATGGGCAATAAAAGATTTCAGTCTGTGGCTGCTTGACTTAATGAGCTCCATCTGAGGGGGATGGATCGGCCAGATCTAGTACAGAAAAGGTAGTGGATGGATTGCTGTTCTCTCTTTCTAGTGGTTGGCCTCTACCTGGTAGTAGATTCAGAATTCCCTATTCCTGACACCAAAACAGTAGAAAGGGTATGGAGAACCTCTGTTCCATGGGTCCAGGCTGCCCTTTGAGCCTCTCCCAGGGCACCATGCAACTTTTCTTTCATGCCCCTTTATCGTTTAGCCAGCTTCCAGAATGTAGTGTGCTCTTCTCTACACACTCTGGCTTCCTTGTTATCATCTTGGCCTTCTGGTCATTCCAGAGCAGTCTTAACCCTTGGAGGCCTTAGCTGTGCAGTGCTTTGTTAACCCTTATGACTTTCTGGCTGACTTCAGATTTGCTCCAGAGCAATCCTTGCTGCAGCTCGGTTAGTTTCCAGAAGAGGTTTTGGTCCTCCTGCAGGTGGTGTTTCCAACTCAGTCAAGAGTACCCTTCACAGTTAATTATTGTTTTCCTGTTTCAATGCTGTAAATGAATTCATTATGTGAATGGATGAAATATTCTGCAAAAGTGCAGCCCATGCCTCCTCCTGAGTATAAACATGCGTTGTGGCCCTGCCCACTGCCCGAATGATGGCATGTGCCTCAGGACTTGGCTTTTGGGCTCCCTCACCTCAGCAGTTGCCTTTCTTCTTGCAGCTGTACAGGCAAAGAGCCTACAGGCAGGTACAGATAATGTTTACTCTTACATACCTCCCAGTACTCTGGCCAAACAAAACAAAAGTTATGGCAGCCTAAGATGAATGACCCCCCACCCCACCCCCAACTGAATGAACCCCCTGGAAGTTCCTTTCAGCCCCCCTCCTGTGCATTTCTTGTTAGGATCCAAAAGCTGCCTCGGCTCTTAGTCACAACATCTGACGGACATCTTTACCTCTACAACCTGGACCCTCAAGATGGAGGGGAGTGTGTTTTAATCAAGAAGCACCGGTAATATACAACTGTACCAGCACTAGTGGGAAACTTAATGGGGTAGATTTTTAGTACAGAAAACGGGAGTATAATAAATTGTCCTCTGAAGCTTTTCTAGGGTGGGGTGGGGTGGGGTGGGAGGGGGCTGGAAGTACATATAGCTTTATTTCTTGAGCTGTTTGAGAATTCCAGTGCTGCCTTGCCTTATAGCAGAAATCCCAAATGTTTCATAATTCCCAAACTTGTGCAGGATGACCCCCTCTGAGACTTAACAGTGACCTGGTTTACACAGAACACTAACTCAGGGGTGGTTGTGTGGCCCAGATAGGGTTTCATACAACCTAACAAACCTTACTCAAGGTTTGAACACTGATCTGTGGGTTGTTACTTAATTGTAGGTGAATCTGTTGTGTTAACCCAGCCATGCTAACAAAACCATGGTTTGTTAACCATTAGCAACACTTGAAAATAACCTGTGGATTTTTTAACAAACTATGGTTTGTTAGGCATGATTCACATTCTAGAACATTCCATAATTTGGTGGCAACTTATACTCATATTCAAGGTTAAATATAGGTTCTCATGTTGTATGGATCCCGCACCAACAGTTTGAACAACCGAAAGTTCTCAATCCAGCAGCCTTGGGATCTTTTTTTGGGTTGTTTGTTTTCAGTAAATCATAGTTTACTGTGAGTGCAACCAGTTTTGCAGCATGGCAATCCAGACTTCAGTAATAACATGGGTTAAATAGACCATGGGTTAGGTTATGTGCAGACCTCATCAAGCATGTGCTTGCATGCTTGATTTGAGTGGCACTTAGAGGTGACAGTAAATGCATTTCTCTCAGTCTGTTGGCAATGCTAGTGGGCTCTAATCCACCCACCTAGGAATTATTTTGGCTGTCAGTTTATAATGCATGTTTAAATTGCTCTACCAGTCTGCCTTGAGTGGCTCTCTTTTGCAATGCCCATTTAATTCAGGCAACACCAGCACTCCCCTGCTTTTCTAGCCTCCTCTAAAGCTTATAATCTTGCTTGAGCAACCTCTTGTTCAAAATAATGGCTGTGTCCTCTGCTTCAGATAGAGAGGAAGGGAGATGGTTGCTCCCAGCTACAGCTTAATGAAGTCTGTGTGTAATCAGCCACTGCTGCCTCTACTGTTAGCTGGTTTTTCAGAAAATCAAAAGAGCAGGGTGTCAGAGGGAGCAAAAACCTTCCCTTTGCACTGAAAGGAAGCCCTGTTCCTTACTCTAGCGTGGAGGTAGGCTGAAATTGCTCAGTGGGAAATCATAGGCACTCTGGACATGCTCTGTAGTACTTTTCTGTACCATATAATACCGCTTTCTCTCTTCGGCTGATGATTTAAAAATGAAGAGTTGGACAAAGGTGGGAGAAGGTACTCAGTGAGTGTGGTTAAAGAGAAACTAGTGGGGCTCCAAGACTAGGGTAGGTGTACCAGCAAGAGATTTTGTTCAAGTGGCCAGAGGGCCTGGGGAGGTTTCCGTTTGCTTGCCCCGTCTCACCTCTGCAGCAACACTGCTCCAGTGTGGGGCCTCCCTGTCCTCTGCAGACCAATGTCAGGCTTGGGGAGGCTGGGCCATCAGCATCGCTGTGCCCGGTTTGGCTTCTGTGTTGGCCAACGAAAGGCTCAGAAATGGCCCAGGCCCCCGTGTCCACTGGTCAGGGTGACAGTCCATGACCCAGCACAGGGAACCTGCTTGTACTTTGCCACGCTAGATGTGGACTGGGGACAGTGTTTCGTTTTAATTCCTTTTTCATCCTTTTCTGGCCTCATGTGCAATTAGCTTGCTTGACTTGGGAAAGACAGAAGAGAACAAAGAAAATGATCTCCGGCCTCCTGCGGCTCAGACCTACGCTGCAACTGTAGCCAAGCAAAGCTCGGTGCCTTCGCCTTCCATGATGCCAGGTGAGGACTGGATTGACTCGCTTCGTTCACTGTTACCTTTGCTACTGAAAGCTGCAGGTCAGATCAGATTTGTGCACAGCTAGATACCTCCAAATGAGGAGTCTTCTGCACAGCAGCCTTGATACTTTTGAGCAAACGTGTGTTGTGATGTCTTTTAACTGATGTACATCTGGAACTGTGGGATGTGGGGTTATTCTGAAGACCAGGTATTTCCCTGAGCTGCATTTTAGATGGCCACAAACAAAAGATGCTGAAGCAGTCCGCACATTTTGGTGACTTTTGTGAGAACCCAAGCAGAAACTGTTGCACTAGATAGTACAGTAACAAGGACAAGCCGTGGGCATCTCATGATAGAAAATCATCAAGACTGAGTGCTTCTGCAGACATGAAGGAAATGAATGGCATGTGCCACAGAACTGAGTGTCCTAAGAATCTTGGTCTCCAGAAAATGAGCATTTACATGAACTTGGAGGAGGTCTTTCTTTGTGTGCACATGGATAGCACACAGCCCTGGAACCAGCCACAGCATTGCAGTAATGCCTTTCGGACATCCTCTTTTGCGATGCCCGTGCATGGTCTTGTGGGGAGTGTCTTAGCCCAGGGGTTCCTGGTGCTTGTGCAGCTCTCGGAGATTAAGGTGCAGCTCCCTACAGCACTTTCCTACAGCCCAGCCCCAATGCCCACGGGTAGCATTCACTGGATGAGGGCAGCCTGCGTTGCTGGAACCAGAGAACTATGCAGCTTAGCCTGTCCTTTTGAGGTCAGTCCACAACTACTTCTCATGTCCCATGAGTAAAACAAACTTGCCCTCTGGTTATGACCAAGTGTAATTAATTATCAGAGCTCAGCCACTTTGAAGATGCACCGTGCTTTGATGATCCTAGACCGGTTTCTAATGTCCACGGTTGTTGTCATGCTCCCCAATCAGTGCCTGCCTTGTCTTTGCAAGAGTTTTTCCCTGTGGATTCATGCATGTCTCCCATCTTTGTTTTATCTCCCTAATTGCCATTTTTTAAATTTTTCCCTTAACTATTCTTTCCCTGAGCCTTGCCCAAAGAGACGTTCTCAGTTTTTATCTCTGGGTTCAATCAGCATTAGCTGTGGAACACACAAAGCCTTGCAGACATCAAAAGCAGTGCTCAGGTGTAAAACCCAAACCTGAGTTGGCCTTTCAGAACAATGGCTCAGGCGCTTGCATTTCCCTTCCCTCTCCTCCTTTGCTCACAGGCCCACCTTCCCTCTCGGTTTCTGGCTGAGGCAGACTATAGTTTGCTTGTGGTGACAGCTGAGCAGGCCATACCACAGATTTCTGGATGTCACAGCAAGGACTGGCACCTGAATATGTGAGCTGATTCCCTTGGCATCCTTCATGTCGGATGTATTTTTGAAAGTTCTACCTTTGGTGTTTAATCTGCAATAGCCCATGAACATGTGCAAGTCACTTGGTGTTGCACTCCTTAAATGATGGACCTAGATGTGCAAATTATCCCATAAAACAGAGGTGGGCAACCTTTGTGCTCCCAGAGGACACTGGAGGCCTCTGAGGGCCATGCTTACCCCTGGCACAGTTCAAGGTGTGCACCAAGCTCATGGATATGTCAGTCCGGCAATACACAGAATTGTAAGCATCTTTGTCTGCAGTATGAGAATAGCTCATGCTACCCACTCAATTCTTTCTATAAATGTGGTTCATTACTGTTCAGTGACTTTACCAAAATAGCAGTTACTAACCCTTGGTGAGGGAGACTTCCTTAAGGATGCAAGAGTTCCTTCTGAGACTTGAGTGGCACCTTACTGGTTAGTGTGGTGCTGTGGGCAACCAACCTTTTCTGAGCAAATGTGCCACCAGTTGAGTCCAGTGAGACTGTGCTATGGCCCATGCGCATCCATGGCACCTTGGGCGGTTCTGCCTGAGCTTCTAAGTAGGCAGCAAGTACAACTGTGAAGAACTAGCCTGGCCAGTTCCACAAATCCCTTTTGCAGGTACATCGTGGCGCAGGCTGGGGATCCAGGGTCTCAGAAGCTAGACTGGAATCCAGACCACTTTCTGAATTCCTGCTTGACTCTGTAACTCAGTGGCTGGCCGGGGGCAAGTCAGTGTTGCCAGGCCCAAAGTACCTTTTAGGGATCAGATGAGATGCCACCCACATGCACCAGTCTGAGCTTCTTAGAAGACGGGTGAGAGCAAATGCAATGCATCGCTAACCTCAGATGCTCCGCATGTTAAGTCCAACCTGCGGTCTAAGAGACAACACATTTCTCCTGAAGCGGCCAGTGCTGCTCATCTGAGTGACAGGATTTCCAGGGAGGTGAATCCTCAATATCGTCCACTAGCCTTGTAAGTTTCTTTCTGCATCTCTTGTATGCAAAGACATTACGATGCATTTCTTACCTCGGACAAGTGCTCATTAAACTCTGCATGTTTGAGTCATTGTGGAGAGTCTGAAGTTCATCGACTTAAGTCTACTAAGTCCTGCTTTTTCCTAGCCTAGTGTTTGCAGTGCTGGCACATCCTCCTCCCACTTCTCCCGTTTTCCCACATGCTCGAGAGGGAAAAAATGCACTCGAATGGTGAGCCTGCATGCCCACCTTGGGCAATTCTCGGCCTCTCCTGTATTTATCTAAAGCATTTTGGTAATTCTGTTGTTGCTGCTTTTGCAGGTTACTCTGAAGATGGGGGAGCCCTTCGAGGAGAGATTATACCCGAGCATGAATTTGCCACAGGGCCTGTGCGTCTGGACGATGAAACTGAATTTCCTCCTGTGAGCATTAGGAGCACTTAAGCCGCACTATGGCCCTCCTGCTCAGAAGAAAGTGTTATCCTCTACTCCTTGAAGGGCTGTCCCTTCCTATCCTTCCTGTAGCCCATGGCAACTGATTGTGTGTAGTCTTGGGACTGGGTAGACAGCTGCCACCGTGGGAGAAGGGCTTAGGGAGCAAAGTTTATACAAATCTGTCTTTTAAAGAAATGGATAATATTTATATTGTTCTCTTAGCCATGCCTGTCAAAGTGCACTAATGCTGCAGATGCCCCCATAAACCTATTGGCTTCCCCAAAGAAGCAGAGATCCAAAATGCATGTCTTGATTTCTGCATCTGCAGTTTCAGCTCTGCTTCTGAGCTGAGAAAAAACTCTCCAAATATCACCAAGAGCAGCTTTCAAGGCATCTTGCTGGTTCCCTTGACATTTGGAGCCTTGGAGTGTTCCGATTAAATTGCCCTGGACACAAGGGCTGAAGCTGACACAGATTTTTGTAGGCCCCAGGCCTCCCTTGAGGCTCCGCCGTACAGGGTTGGCCTGCCTAGTTTCTCACAGCAACCCCTGCCCCTCACTGCCCTTTTCCTGGTAGCCGTTTCATCCTTGCGTGGGGGGGAGGGGGCTTTGCGCTAGCCTTGTGTGAGCCACCGTGGAGCAGCAGGACTGGGGAGGTGTGGACTGGCATAGGATGGGGCAGGGGCGAGTGGCGGAGAGGACGCAGGGAGTGTCAGTTGAGGGAGCACGTGGGCAGCGCTGGGGTTAGGGCAGAGGGGCTTTGTCTGCTGCCCTTGGCTCATGGGGCAGGTCCAACCAAGGGCTGGTGGCCAGAGGGCGCAGAAAGAGAGAGCAGCAGTCCTAGCCAGTTCCCCCAGCATTACTGACCCTGCTCACCAGACCTGTTCCCGTGCAGGGTCAATATAGGCATGGATAGTGGTGGTACAGGAAAAAACCTTGGCTAGGATTTGTTTTAAAGAACTGCCTTGAAGTGCTTCTGGAAGTATTTTTTAAGGACATTCCTTTATGTTGGGTAGTGTTTTCCCTCTCTGTAATGGATGTGTAACCTTGCAGTGTCTAATCAGTGCTGTGTATTTACTGTTCTCCAAGCTCTCTGTTTTTCTATGCTAACATGGGGTGCATTATGTTACCAGAGCTAGTTAATTATACCAGAAAGTTGGGCCCCAATAAGGCCCAAGAGGGAGAGTGATCATGTGGAAATAACCATTCTAGAATTGGAAACTAGGACAGGGAGAAGGCGGCCATGTGGTTAGCCCAAGGAATTCCTTCCTATTTGCATGGCTTTGCGCTCCTGGAATGGCTCCAGATGCAAAGGACTTCCCTGTGTGACTGCTCCATCTTGATGGTATGGCAAGGTGTCGCCCTGCCCTGCCACGCAGCCCTGCTTGGCTTCTGTTACTGCTTCCTTCCTTCTTCTACCACCACCACCAAGTCATCCTGGGCCCTTAAAGCTTGGGGAACCAGCCAAGACAGCCCTGCGCTGCTCTCTGTGAGGCTTTCTCTGCTGCCTTTCCTGGCTCAGGCTGAGAGAAAGGCTAGCTCTCGCCCATTTCTCTTCCCACACGTTTCCAGACATGGCTTGTATAGTAAATAATGGCCCTGCCTCAAGCATAGTTCAGGAGGGCTTCAGGTGTTGTTTTTCACTTTCCTGCTGCCATCTTTTGTTCTTACCACTAAATGATTCATTGTGGGAAAGGTGGAATAGCTGTGCTCTGCCTTTGGATCAGTTGTGGTAGGAGCTCTGTTGGGGAGTGCCCTTCCTGTGGGGTACATGGGCTGTAAGGGGTTGTGGAGGAAGGGCAGGTGCAAATGTGCCATGTCTCTCCTGACTAAGAGGAGGATGAGCGATCAGTATTTGCTCCTGAGGGTCAGACAAGTGCTTGATTCTGACTGGGGACAGAACAGGCTTAGTTTGGGCATTTCTCGGTAACTGTATGGACTGAGCCAAAGCCCGAGTGGAACCCAGAGCTAGATGCTTCCTGCTGGCTAGGTTAGTACAAGATTCCTAGTCTGCTGCCCTTTGAAGGAATTAGAGATTACTGGAATTAGAAATTATTGGATTTTTTCCAATGGTAATCAAGCATGGCAACACTTGGATTAGGCAGTATTAGGAATAAGAAATAAAGGAAGAGTACTGTAATTAAGTGTGCTGCGTTTGGTGATTTGGCTGCAGGCTTGTTACAGTAGTTATACAAGTAGTTACAAAAGCATCCATGATTCTTGAGTTGACCGGGTTCAGGGTTCCAAGAAGCTGCTGCACTTGGGTTTAATTTTACATTTGGTTGCTGTGATAGGAAAGGATGAATTGTGATTCCTTAGTACTTGCCATCCCTTTGGAACAAGGCTAAGCCTTTTGTGGTCCTCCAAATGTTGAACTGCAGTTCCCATCACAGCCATTGGTAAGAGATGATGGGAGGTGTTGTCCTCTACATATCATTGACCTACAATTTGGCCAGCCCAGCTCCATGATAGCAGTTACTGACCTTCCAATAGTGTGTGTGTGTGTGTGTGTGTGTGTGTGTGTGTGTGTGTGTGTGTGTATTTGGGGAGGGGGGGGTCACTTTATGCATCCTTCTTATTATGTTGTCAAACTCTTTAGACTGGTGAGAAAGCACCTTCTTAACAGGAAAATGGCCTCTTCAAGAGTATTGGGGCAAGCATCAGGTTCTTTAAATGACTGATATACTGACATTAAAATAGCTTTTTAAAGGCTGCATCTTTGCAGAATGAAAGCCCACCTCTGAGCAGTTTTCTTACTTGGATACCAGTTCGGTATAGGATGCATTTTCATTGTCATTTAAAAGGAACAACACTGGAGACAAACGGGAATCCAGCGTGGAAATAAGACGGACCATGTGTTGGAGCCAACGTCCTTGTTGTGTCTGTGGAATTGATACCTCTGTTGGAGCCATATCCACATTCTCTCCTCCCCACTGCAGCCTCCCCCTCTGCATAGCCTCCAGATTTGCTTGGAGTTGGGGAATCTTCCAGAGGCACATGAAAGGCTGTTGGGGGAGACCGGTTCCACTAGTGGTATCCATTCCACAGATGCAATAAGAAAGTTGAATCTAACCCTGAATGAACACGGATCATCTTAGATATGTGGTATATCATTCTCTGGCACATAAATGAGGGCTCTTAATACCTGGCAAAATTTGAGCCTTAGGCCCTGCTGCAGCCTTGACTCTGTTGAGCACTCCATCTCTCTCCTTCCACTCCATGCTTACTGGAGGTGGTGGATATAGTCAAGAGAACCTGATTTCTCAAATCCTTTCATCTGTATGGTGTTGTCCAGGAAACTGGCAATCATGGAGGTGCAATTCCCATGATGTATTTGTGCACCGCAGGTCTCTCCTGAGAGATGCTTACAGCAAAGTGACACTTCACCCCAGGTGATCGTATCTATACTTTTCGCTTGTGGGAAAGCTCCCTATATTCTTGATGCTGATCAGTGTGGAACCTGGCCAAGCCCTCCTAGCTGCCACCCACTGCTAGCCACCTCATTTCTGCATCTGGAAGGACGATGTCTAAATGGGAGGCAGAAGGCATGGCCAGTGGTTGTCATGCTGTCATGTAGAGCTGGTAGGATTGATACCGTGTCCTGCTGCTGATGTGCAAGACAGGTGGGTCTTCATTATAGTGTAAGCGGTTGATACTGCAAACACAGAAGGCTGACAGGACCAAAGGGGATCTCACAGTTGTGAAAGAGCACTGAAATCTGTAGAACTTAAATAAAAATATCAAAACAGGTGGGATGACTGTCTCCTCAGGGTTTTGTGCAGACCTTTCTCCTGTGTGCACTAGAGACTGGCCTTACACCCAACACATTTTTAATGACTAGCACTCTATTTTGTAATTGGCAGACTCTGACAGTATCTTTTAAATCAGCAGATCCCCACTGTGATGCGTTTTCTGCCAGTCTGCTAATTTGATTGCCTTACTTAATTCCATGCATTTCAGTAACTGAGGCTTCAAGTGCATACTTTATTTACAAACAGAACAATGGTTTGAGTCATTGCTTAAACCAGGCATACGTTTTCAGGCTTGAATCTCGGATTAGATGTCAGATACACACTGGATCTAGTTTATTCCTAAATCAGATGATTCCTGCAAGCACGGAAGAATTAAATGACCCACACAGATCCAGAGGTATTGCGGAAAGCAAAGCAGTTGCATGACATTTGTTTCCCTGCTGCTTCCTCTGCATGCACGCAAAGTCTGCACGTTGCTGGGAAAAGTAAGGCCCTTCTGTTTTGATTTTGGTAGATAATCTTATGCCGTGGAATCCAGACGAACAAAGTGAAGAGTTCATGAGGAGTGGCAAACAGCAGAGCACAGAACGGCGGATGGGAGGTAGTTTTGAAAAAACTAAAGGGGAATGTAGAAGAACCCACAATTTGGGGGGAACCCTGAGGTGCTCCAGTCCTTTTAACACAGTATGTTCATTCCTAGCCAGTTCTTTCTGGCCATTTGTGTGTGCTTTCTTAAAAGTGCTATGTAAGTTTGGTATCCATGTACTGTATATTTACGTTGCTCTATACTCAAGAACCATGATGCAACTGTTACCCTAATGAATTTAAATTTTATACACAAGCCTGCCCTTTTCTAACTTATATCATGTATAAATGTACTTACAGAAGTCTATTGATCAATGTCTTTGTATGTTGTATGCATAATATTTTACCCATGCAGAATATTTTTGCAGTGATCTATGGGGGGGGGGGACCCAGAACCCCAGCATATGCTGTGGGCGCTCTGCTGGAATACCTATCAATAAAGTCATCATGAAGTCAGTGGCAGGTGTCCTCCATCTTTCTTGCTTTGAATTGCACCCTAAAAATCGGCCTTAAGGTCTGTAAACTGAATGGCTGCGGGTGCACATGGAATCCTTATTCTTTCACCTGCACCATGCCAGCTCACTTCCTTTGCCCCAGATACATTTTGCAAAGGATCAGACACAAACCTTGCTCCGGGAGCAGCTGCTGCTGGAGTCACATTTTTCTAACAGATTATGGACCATGATGACTGCAGATAGCAATGCACAGGCTTAGCGTACTGAAAGACATAAGAATTCATGTTGGTATGTGAAACATAGCAACTGTCTCAATTTTCCAGCCTTGGTCAGCTGACTCTACCAGATCTTTTAGTGACTTTAGCTGCCTAAGACTGGCTTTAAAGTCACCCCAAACTTTCCTTGTGCTGCCTGGGCCACAACTAGACCTTACAAGATGCATGCATGGCTATTAAAACTGGCAACCCTGTGCTTTGTTCTTTCTCTCTCCGATATTTAACTTCACAGTGTCCAGATGTTGCATGTTTCACTGTATTTTTGAAAAGCAGGGATTACAGCTTCATCTGCCTTAAGCCTTTGGACCATTTTAGTAATCTAGTTTGAAATAAAAAGAACGGGTGGAAACAGCCCCAAATTCAGCATTTACTTACAGCAAGGGTAGTGAGCGAGTTAGCAAGATCACAGTTTGCTGCTAGATCGCTGGGTGCTCTGAAGTAGATCGGAATTTATTTCTGATTTCCAAATGTTTAATAACAGGCACAATAATTTCTTCCTCATCAGCATTCTAAATTGTGCATTAAAATGAAGAAAACTTAGGTAATCAGCAGCAGGTCTTTGTGTAGAAGGACTGTGCGCTCCATTCAGTTCTCAAAAGAACTCTCTAATGCCATGAGTTTTGTACCGGGCTCCGGTTGGTGGCTTTCAAGATTCCATGAAAGAACAAAGTAGATGCCATACACAAGTCAGACGTGTAACCAGGCCTGCTTTAGAGGAGTCTGCCTTTCAACAGCAGCAGCACATCACAAAATACTTGATTAAACCACTAATACATGTACTGTATTGTCCACTTGTGTCTTTGAGTCTTTCTCACTTCAAGGGGAAATGGCGTTACTGGTTCCTGAACTGGCATCCCCCGTATCAGTCTGGTATCTTTTTCCCCCCGAAGATGAGTTGAAATAAGCCAGTTGGCATCTGCAGACCAAGTGTTGTGGGTTGCAGCAGGGTGTCACATCTGGATCATGAGAGTAATCTGCCACAGATATGTTGTCAGTCGCAATATCTTGATGAATGCCCACAAGAGCCTCTCTTACTGCTGGCAACACAGCTTGGTATTCAGCAGCATGGACGTCCAGGGGCTTCCCCTCTTGAAGATCATGCCCTAAGTTGAAAATGAGGGGCGGCTGGTGATGCTGCTCCTGCCCAATGCTGCCATCACAGGCCTTGGCACCACCTGAAAAGAGATGCAGCACACAAGATCCCAGGTCGCTGCCTTCTGCCACTTAGGTGTCCTTGCAACATCCACACCATTGCAAAGAATTTTTTGAGACCAATTGGATAGTGTGAGTATCAATTAGGCAAAGGTAAGCACTTTAATTTCATGAATTTTAGTGAAGGAGAGTGAAGCACATGCCCATTATTAGAAAAACAAAAGAAAAGAGCTGACCAATTCACAGGTATAACTGGTTGCCTGAAATTCTATCAAATGAAATATTTGCAGGAAAACTTCACTGCTTATCAGGTGGCCAACTGAGGCTTGTGAGCCACATGCAGCTTTTTAAGTTTATTTTGTGGCTTTCCACTCACAGTTGCAGAAGCCCATTTGTGCTGCTTCAACATCTGACATTTATGGTATGTGGCTCTTCCATGGAGCAAGTCTGGCCACCCCTGCTATATATCATCAGTTCAGCCTGCATAATGATTTGAGCTTCTTCTGCTCCTTGTCTTACTGCAAAACTGAGAAATACGGCAGAGGTCGCTAGCAAAATAAGCAAGATCGGGGCAGGAGAACCTGGTACTGATAGAACTAGTGCTGCAGATGGTAAGCCTATGATTCTCAAGGGTATTCTCAGCTGTGAGCATTATAGGTTCAGCTCAAAGATATTACCTATGAGGCTTAGATGCATGGAATGCGTATGCCTGGCCCTGACAGGTAACCTAATGAAGAGACCCTTAATGGAAGTGTATTGCTATCGACTTGTGCCAGCAATCCTTGGGCACAGTTCCAAGTAGCTGCAGAATGAAAGCAGAAAGTAGATTATGAAAAATTCTTTGAATGATCACTGGACTTTTTTATTCCCCAAATGTTACAAGAATCTAGTTCTGCAGGATGCATCTACTACAGAAAAGGCTAAAGATCACTGAAGAACAGGAATATCAATAGCTAATGTGCAATAGTGGATTCCTATGTTAAACTTTGGCAGGAAAAATGCTCTAAATGAATGTCCATTGGCTTTGTTCTCACACCCAGGAGAGGAGGCGGTAATTTTGCTTCTAGCTGTACTGCTTGAGAATACAGTAGCGGCTCACCATCCTGCAAAAACGGCCTGCATCTAGAAAATGGATTCCTCACTCCCTGTCATTTAGCTTCCTCCGCACTTGAACTATTTCTGAATGGAGTATTCAATCAGGAGAGCCCCCAATTCACAGTTTCAAGTGGTAAACTCCAAACGTAAAATCTGGTTGTATATGCTGTCAACTTCTCTCTGATGTATGGTGGTCCCATGAATGAAATGTTCTGTCCATGACATTTTATTTTTATTTATTTATTTAAAACATTTCTATGCAGCCCCATTCGCTGAAGCCTCGGGGCGGCTCACAATGTAAAATTAAAATATAATACATTCAAAATATAAAACAAATTAACAATATAAAATAAGCCGCCCTGGCCAGATAAAATAAGCAAATAATATTAACAATTAAAATGACGTTTAAATAAAAAGGTCTTTGCCTGGCGCCGAAAAGCAAATAACGACGGCACCAGGTGGACCTCTCTGGGGAGTGCATTCCATAGATTGGGCGCCACCGCAGAGAAAGCCCTCTTCCGAGTACCTACCCTCCTAATTTCTTTCACGGAAGGGCCTCTCCCG